TATATATATATATATATATATGTAAACACATATATACATATGTATATGTATGTATAAATATATTTTTAATACGAGGCTCCATTCGCTTAACACCTGTACATTGCGCACAGATGTTGCCTACAACAGAAGGAATACAGGTGCGTATAACAGGAGGGCAAAACCAAGCCACCGACCATGATAATGCCGAAGACAGTGTTCAGGGCATGAATGATATTTCAAGGATTTAATATAAAGATGATGATGATGATGATGATAATTATGAAAGTATGTAAGTATAAAAAGGACAGTGGTAATAAATGATAGTAGTATGAATGATTATAAAATTATATAGATAATGACAATGATGATAATATTTACAATAGTACTAATAATAATGTTATCACCACAGACAACAGTGATGATAAAGATAACAATAACAAATACAATAATGAAGAGGGTGATGATGATGACGATGATAGCAGTGGTGGTGATGATGACAATGAATGTAATGATAAGGGTGATGATAATGATAACGATGGTGGAAATAAGGAAAATTATAATGATAATAGTAAATGTAATAATAATGATGATAATAATAACAATAATGATAAGGGTATCAGTAATAATGATTGTAGTGGTAATTTTCATAATGAGAGTAATGGTAATTATGATAATGATAGTAATCATGATAATGATAATAGTATCAATAATAAAAATAATAATTATAGTAACTATTAGCTTTACTATATCATTACTATTATTACTATTATTATCATCATCATTACCACCATTACTGTCATTAATATCATTATTACTATCAGTGTGATATAATCATCATAATGAGGATGACCATAATAATAATGATAATAATATTACAATAATGATAATAATATTACAATAATGATAACATTAGTGATAATGACAATGAAAATAATAATAGTAATAATAATAATGATAATAATAATAGTAATAATAATAACAACAATAAAAATAATGATAACAATAATAAAACAATATTGATAGTAATAATAGAAATAATACAAATAATTATTGCAATGATAATAATAACATCAATGATATCAATAATAATGGTGATAATAATAATTATGATGATAGTAATAAAAAAAAATTATTATATTAATAAAAATGATAATAAAAACGATGATGATAATAATAATAATAATGATAATAATAATAATAATAAAGAATAATAATAATAATAATAATAGTAATAATAACATCAATGACATTAATGATAATAACGATGATAATGCTGATGATAATGATAATAATGATGATTATGATATTAAAAATGATAATAATAATCATAATAATAATAATGTTAATAATAGTAATAATGTTAATAAAAATGACACTAATGATAATGATAATAATAATAATGATAATAACAATGTTAATGATAGTAATAATAACGATAATGATAACGATAATTGTAACATTAATCAACATACCAACAATAACAACAACAATTACATTACAATCAACAAAAAAAATGTTAATCATTATCATGTTTTGCCTGATATTCGCAAGAGCACGAATACATATCGTTCCTTTCACCCAGACTCGAACGTTATATGGCAACAGATGACTGGCTGATTGAGTGGTGCGTTTGCATCGTGTTGCAATATTCTGGCCGTTGCATGTGCATTTGCAGGAGAAGGTTGCGCTGGGATATATGAAGTGCGGGTTTGTGTGGGTTGTTTGTGGGATGAGTCTGTAGGCTGTTTATATGAATAGGGTGGGAGTTTGCGTGTGGTTGTGTGAGTGTATGTGGGGGTGGGGGTGGGGGAGATTTGCGTGGAGAGGAAGGGTTGGGTTGGGGGTGGGTGTGTGTGTGTTGTGGCGTGGGGTGAGGGAGGTTAGGTTGTTTGCGTGAAGGGGGGGTAGGAGTTGTGTATGCGGAAAGGCTGGTTCTATAGTTGGGGTGGAGAGGTTGTGTGTGGCTGTGCAAGTGTACGTTAGGGGTTGGGATGGGGAGGAGGGTTTGTGTGTAATAGGGGCAGAGGTGGGGGAAGGGGAGAGGTAGGTTCTTTGCCTGGAGGAAGGGTTGTTTATTTGGAGGTAGAGGAATGTGAGGTTGAAGGGTGGGGGTGGGTGATGGAGGAGGGAGGGAGGGGGAAGGCAGGAAATTAAGTGTGTTGTTTATGCAGGCGTGCTGGAGCGGTTATGGGCGCGGGGCGAGGCGGGGGAGGTAGTTCTCATGTGGGATGAAGGTCCTGTTTATTTGGATTGGAATGGAGACATTATTTCATCTTCGGTAATTGTATAATCTGTGATCATGAGTCTGTTCACTTCCTGCGGGCGATCCACCATGACCTCGCGCTCTTCGTCCATCGGGCTTTCCACATCATCCTCACCTTCCTTACGAGAACTGTGACCCGACTCGACCAGAAACTTGGCTCCACCTTCCAAAGGCACTACCAAAGGGAAATGACATCTGATGCCCACCTGGGCTTCAAAGACTCTACCTTCAGGAGCCTATCTCTAGTAAGACCTCTCAGAAGGGACCAAGGTGTCTATATTCTTACATAGATTCTAGAGGGGACTGAAGTGATGCAGATCCCGAATGCACTATGCGCCTTCGGTGTTTCTTTACTTACCTGTTAATGTACTTTTTTATTCTAAGTCAAGTTCAACATCTACTACTCTTTCGTGGTAAACTTTGTTAGGACACAACACCACAAGCTAGATGTTGTTCGCCGGGCCTCACCGTATACTAGAAAGCATAGCTAGAAAACATACTTTAGTTTATATTGACATTAGATTTGACATCTAACTAGGTCTTGGGTGCAACATAAGAATTTTCACCAAGACATTTACCATATTTTGCTTAGACATTTACCTATATATATTCCTTTACACATGGGCTGATGTCATGTGTTATGGTCAATTATAGAGTAATCCCTCTATAGCAGGGAAGGGAGTGGCTTCGTTTCTGAAAGTAAGGAACGTAATTTTATGATTGCCACAGAAGACATACAGAGGCCCTACTGCCTCTGCGAGGTCTTCATTACAATAAGATTATTTACTATTTAGAGTGCCAGATATAGCAGCTTCTTGGGAAGTTAGGGAACCTATATTCATTTGGTGGGTAATCAGGGGAACTCGGCATTTCTATTGAAAGTATGTGTGACTAGGATGTTCTGGGGAATGGCGCTGGTGCTTACAAAGGAAACTTTTTATTAAAGACCCGCCCCTTGACAGGCCATATTGGCTTGTGACAGCCTATGTGTGTGCATACTGTAGGCAATCGATAGCTCTTAAACATCTGCTTCGTTTCTTACGGAAATCAGCAAGCATATAATTTTCAAGTCATATGAGAGGCATTTCAGCGAAGTGTGTGCTCCATATCTTCAAGGTCACCCAGCCAAGCTGTGTATGCCAAAGATTTTTTTTTTTCAAATTGATATATCAAGTTTTCTCATAATCCTCACCACCAATAGGATATCTGGAGGCTGTGGTCAATAAGGGATCCTGACACTCTTTTCCAAGTACAAGCAGTTGGAAACAGGGCCAATTTTTCATAAATGGAGTGCCTGCAATAACACCCAGGGCCTTGCTGCCACCCACTGGTCAGCCAGTCCTTCGCAACAGTACGAGGATCACCAAACATGTGTTAACTCGCGGACAACAAACAAAAATAAGAAAGCAAGATTCTGTGAGGCTGCAGCTGAAACTTCCTTCATTGCCAGCTATGATAAATTATGTAGCGCGAACGGTTCTACATGAATGCATATGAGAATGTGTGTGTTCATATTGTCTTCCAGAACCCTCTATAACATCATATAAAATTTTAAGTATCCATGCCGATTCCCAGTTCAAACTCCTTCTATTTTCCATTTTGAAAGATATTGTGGGCGATATTCTTCCAGTGACCGAGTCCGGGAGAGTTTTGCTACTCGGAGAGGAGTGAGGGATCTTGCTATAGGAATAATCTGATAGGTTCTTTGTATACATGCATTTGATTGCATTTTTGTACAGTATGAATATGCAAGTGAGTATATGTGTGCGTGCCTGTGTTTACCTGTCTGTTGAATAATGTATCTAGCCATATAAATTTCATGGGTTAAGGACAGGGTTCCTTTTCATTATGTATAACGGAAAATAATCAATAGCTATCAAGATATTCAATATCAGATGATAAGATGAAACAATGCTTTTATCATTACAAGTGCCGGCACGATGCATCTCTTATCACTTTTAATTGATAACGATTCCGGTAGTACGTTAAGATAAAAAGTACAGATATTCGTATATGTATATTTGGCATGTATTTGAATATAGTACATAGGTAAATATAAATTTGGTTACACGTCAATGTATTTTTTTTTTAGAAGTTAATTTCATAATATACTTTGTGTGAGACGCAATATGTCACAGTTTTGACAGCCTTGCATGGGATACCAGAATAGCTCGATGATTAAAAAAACATTAATCATTTTACAAGTACACGGTCGCAAAAGTTAATTTAATTTAAAATTTAAAGACAAATTACTAATTTTACAAGTACACGGTCGCAAAAATAAAGTTTGCGAAATTGTCTTGTCAAAATCCCCGCAGGAAGCTCGTCTCTTGATGTGGTTGGATTTCCGCGTCATCCACAAGTTCACGTTTCCGATCGTTATGAACTTTTACCGACCACAAAACTGCGAGTAGAATAATTAGGAATAATGATTGAGATTTAAAATCGAATAGTGATATAGTCAAATCCATCTCAATGAAGAGAAATATATATGTGTTCCTGAATATTTAGCACGTGCTAACCCCCCGTGAAATATATCGGTTTTTGCTCCATCCATAATATCCATAATACCCGACGATTAAAAGAAACTTTCGACAAAAAACAACCCACCACACCCCCTCAAACTATAACCCTAAACCAAACCACAGACAATAAAACTAAAACCGAAGATGTATTTAGCCATAAATCGCATTCAAAATCCCGAACTTCAGCCCCGGACTTTCCCCCTCTGGCGCCTCAGCTGCTGCCCTCTGCCGAGCTGACGTGGCGAGAGGCGAAAATGCTCGCGTGTAAACATTCCTCGGGATAAAAAAGTCTTATTTCAGGTCCATTTTCACGCCAAAATGATATCTTGGAGGACATTGCTGGTCGTGTTTAATCTGTTCTTCGTTGCTGGGGGTGATGAACACACACATACGGTAAGGAAGTGGGTTATAATTGGGTAAAAATAGGAATGGTTAAGGTCAGGTCACTACCGGCCCGAGTGAAGTAATATTTTTTTTGTAAATATGTTCATTAAATTCCCCTCAATTTTGTTTGTGATGGAATTCTCGTCATTACGGATAATCAGTTATGTCTTAGACCACACTTGTAAGGCGTAAGTCTCATGAAATTAGGCAATTAACCTCTCTTTATCATTGTTCTTATTATTCCCTTGTTATCCCCCAGTTATGCTATTATTTAACTGATTTACTTATTGTTATTGCGGTATATCCATTGCCATTTGTCCATGTGTTATACCTCTTGATGGTGTGTTATTTTTCAGTATTTATTTGTAAAACATATTTTATCTTATGTACTTGTCAACTTCTGGGGGAAATGTCTGGAATACCCCTATAGTGGCTTTTCGAGCTTGTTTCTTGTGAGTCGATCAGTTGCTCTGATCTGTGATGGAAGGCCTTCAGTCAGACCTGGTGTTGGGCAGCGTCATGTGATGGCCGTGGCGTCTAGTCTAGCATGAGCCAAGAAAATGTCACAAGGTATATTTTGGCAAAGTAGAGTTTTACACTATGGGAAATTGGCTGGGAAGCTTACAAGCTCGCATCTTGCCTGGGCATATGGGACCAAGTTCGTTGCCCTTTGGCAGGAGACTGACTTGGGCAGAAAGTGTGATGACTAGCTGGGTAGCTACCAAGTGCAACAAAGGATAAAGTGGTCAATATGTAGTATAAGGGAGTGGCAGAGTTGGGTAATAAAACCTACATGAAATGAAAGAATAATACAAACCAAGACAAAGTTCTTCTATGGCAATATGTGTGCAAATGCTTCCCAAGGTTGCTATATATAAAAGAAAAGAAAGATCCCCCCCCCTTGGTCGGTATGTAGAAGTGGGTAATGGGTTACTTTCGAAACAATTTTTATATTTTTCTGCATGAAATCCACTACTTTCAATGATTCTAGGCATTGTTCCTTGTGCAAATGAATCGTTGAGGAGATATGGTCACCATCTCCATCAACAATCTTGATTTGATAGTCCCAATAGCAGGGGAGGGCATGAAATATGTCAGGGAAATTATGGGGTAAAACAGGACCTCCTTGGTTGTTAAACAAAATGTCCTAACCCAACATCCAACCTAACCTAACACCATGGTATATATTCCCTAGCCAGAGGGCTCTGCCCCATGGACCCCCGTGGTAATATATATGCCTAGCCAGGGAGCTATGACCCCTGGACCCCCGTGGTAGTATTTACGTTTAGAATTCAATCTCGCATGTAAACAAAATGAGCGACTTGGCCAAAATTGGGGATCTTCTCTTTTCTTTTACGTATAGCACCCTTAGGAAGCATTTGCACACATATTGCCATAGAAGAACTTTGTCTTGGTTTGTATTTTTCTATTATTTCATGTAGGTTTTATTACCCAACTCTGCCACTACCTTGTACTACATATTGTCCGATAAAGCTACATAAGTAAATTTGCTCTTGTAAAGATGAGCAAAACAGTCAAGTATTAAAAATAATTAATTAGTCCAAGCTCTCTTGCTGGAATCAGCTAGAATATACGAGCTGGAGATTTCTTGGCTTTTGCTCTGTGTGGATCAGGGAGACAAATGATTGCTCTATGTGGTTGTACATTGAACATGTTCCAATTTTATTAGCAGTGTTTTAAAAGCAATAGCCAATAGATTACTATTTTATAGATCAGGTAATTTTAAAAACTATTTTAACCCAGTGCTGACGTGTATGACATGTACATACGTGCTATGCCCACTGTGAGCACTTGCTTGATTATTTTTACACATATATGGCTACACTTGTATAAAGTCACCAATTAGCCAGTTACGAGTACTGTCTGTCTTGCCCGTTCACCCTTGTCATCGATTTACAAAAATATTTAATGTTATTTTATTTTGCTGTTACAAATGTTTATAACATTATAGTAATTATAATGATTTCTTTGATTTACAAAATATTTTACGTTATCTTATTTTGCTGTTACAAATGCTAAAATATTATAATGTGTATAATACAAATAACAGCATTGATATTCATAGCACTAGTAAAAAATGCGATTTTCCCACCAATTTCAAACAGGTAAGGTCACAAGGTCTACTAATTGACTCCTTTGTGGCTAAGCTCTAGCAGAGCCATCTATGGGCAGACATTTCACAAAAAATATAGAAAATAGGCAAAGCATTTTCCCCTTTTTTTGGTCATTTTCCCCGGTGGCATTGGGTTAACTTACCTATCAACTCGTTTTGCTAATTTCTTGAGAGTAAGCTGTGTCAGAAAATAGCAGCTAGGTTGGAATCAAAGT